AGAGAGAGGAGAAGGACTGCTAGTCTCTCACAACCCTGAGCCATTTGTAGTGCTTATAATTTAACTGTTCATTTGTTATATTTATCTGTATATAATTTAACAGTTCATTTCTTGTTATAAATCTAATTATCTTTATACATAAATATATTTAATTATCAGCAATTTGGTTTTCTCTCTAGAGAACCCTGTCTAACACAGGTGCTGTGGCAGAACCAGTCATGACAAACAAATAGAGGCTCTGAAGCAGAGCTGGTGCTGACGGCGAAACCCTGCCGCTTGGAGCACAGTTAAGAGAGCTGGACAAAGCTGCAGCACTGGCTGTAACCTGCGTTATCAGTGGAGAGACTGACCAGGTGAAAGGGGGCAGGCATCGCCACAGGAAATCATCCATGGTAAAAAGAGGAGGCTGCTTGTGCGATCCAGCCCACATCCAGATGGGTCCTAAGGGACGGTTGTGTCATTGAAGGGAGGAAATTAAGAGGTAGAAAAATGTTTTGGGGTGCTCCCTTCCTCCACGATGTCAGGTCCGAGTGGGAGGGGGAGAGGCTGCATTCTTTCACCCACTTATATGAAGAGGTACCCCCCCAAAACGGAAACAAGCTCATTGGGCAGAGCTTTCGTAGTATGCATCCATTGGCGTCGTCTGGGAAGGTGCTCTCTGGTCACAGTGAAGTTTGTTTTAAAAGCAGTCTCGCTCGAACCTCGTCTTTTTGTGATGCCCAATTTAAGAAAACTGCATGCGCCTGTGAAGTTTTGCTTCCTGCTTGGGAAAAATGCCACAAAAACTGCTCTAACGTAGAACACAGCTTACAAGGGCAGAGATGGGAAAATCTCCAGCGTATGAGTGGTTTTCTCGTTTCAAAAAGGTGAAAGTTTGGATCTCCATCAGCTTCCAGAACAGACGAAGACGTGGACAAAGTTTATGCACTTGTGCTCGAAGACCAATGGTGGAGCACTGAAGAGGTGGGGAAGTTATCTGGACCATCTTGGAGCTCAGTTCGGAGAATTTTAACGGGAGACTCGGGAAAGAGCAGGGTCACTGGCAGCTCTGGGCCTCGGGTTCTGACTGACCAGGAAAAAGAGCGTCAAGTGGAAACAAGCCAGGCTTTGAAGGAACAGCTCGGTAGTGACCCAGACTTTTTTCCAAGGTCATTACTAGTGAGGAGAAAAGGTGCTATTCTTATAACCCTGAAACCAAACATCAATCAAGCCAGTGGAAGATGCCATGGTCACCTTGCCCAAAAAAAAGTTAGTCACGTGAAATCAAAGAACAAGAGAAAGCTGCTCGTTTTTTTTATGTGAGGGGAACAGTGCATTTAGAGTTCATTCCACTGGATCAGACTGTTAATCAAGCTTTCTATTTAAAGGTACTGAAAAGATTAACAGTGTGCAACCAAAAAGGCCTGATTTGTGGCAGACGGGGGACTGGTTTTGCC